CTTCCTCACTTAGCCCCCTGTTACCCCCCTCCTGCCACCCTCACTCTGCCTCCTGTCACCCCTCCTCACTTTCGGTCCCCTGTCACCCCCCCTCCTCCTGCCCCAGTCAAGAGCCCACCTCACTCTGCCCCTGTCCACCCCCTCACTCTGCCTCCCCTGTCCACCCCTCAGTCCAGCCCCTGTCAATTCCTCACTCTGCCCCCTGTCACCCCTCCACTGTTCCTGTCACCCCCTTATTCTGCCTTCCTGTCACCCCCCACCTCCTTCCCTCACTCTGCCTCCTGTCACCCCCTCACTCTGTCCCCAGTCACTCCCTCACACTGTTCCCTGTCACCCCCTCACTCTGCCTCCTGTCACCCCCTCCTACCCTCACTCTGCCTCCTGTCACCTCCTCACTCCGCACCCAGTCAAACCCTTACTCTGCCCCCTGTCACCTAATTAACACCTCTAATCCTGTCACAAACCCCATCACTCTGCCCCCTGTTATCCCCTCATTCCCTTACTCTGCCCCGTCACCCCCTCACTTAGCCCCCTGTCACCCCCTCTGAAGATGAATGCAGGGACTAGCTCTCTGTATCCAACGCTGCAAGCCCACCCTTCATTATATCTACAGCTCCTTATACACACACAACTCAACCCCTATTTTTTTCACTAATGGTGTTAGTGGGAGCCTCATGTTTGAGTTTCGTCTGAGCCCTCGCAAAGTCTAGAGCCGCCCCTGACAATAATTTTTGAAAATGGACAACTCATTTTGGACTTTAACCAGGAGTGTGTTCACTTGGCTCCTCCAACACATGGGTAAAAATGCAAGTGTAATTTATATTTATTCACACACAAAAAAACCATCCTAAAATCCAATTGAGACTCTCTCAAGGATTTAACTTGACATCACACTTACGGTCTGGAAGGTCATGTGAGCAGGTGGACCAAGTGATATAAATGTAGACAATGGGGGGAAAGAAATATTTTCATGCATATGACTCTTAGCATTTTTGTATCAATCGGACGCATGAAATGATGGCAAATTAGATTTATGTTTGTCCTGTTCAATCATGATAAATAAACACAAGAGGGGATCAGATAGATGTACCTTCGACTCAATATAAATTTAATTTATCTTATAAAATAGAGCCATAAATGAGAACATGTTTCTTTTTTTTGTTTTGATTTTTTAGAAACCCCCCTGTATTTTCTAGGAAAAGCCACAGGATACATGTAATCAATTCCATATTTCACTAAATAAGATTGTGCACAGTCCGTTCCATTAAAC